GACTGATTTCCTCAAAGTGTGACCTTCACACAAAAAATTAGGCCTGATGTAATTCTAACTGAATTCAACAGCAAATTGGTCACTTAGGCTGAAACTGGACTGGTTCCTTATAAGTTAATATTCTTCTCAGCATCGTAAAGCCTTATCTAAGTTCTGTGTTATTTTTTCTGTGTTATTTTTCCTTTTTCTCCATGTAGGACACCATCTTTTAAATTCTGTAAATGTTCTTTAAGTAGTCATTTACTATAACAATAACAATGTTTTCTGCCTTTTCTGTAGTTTAAGTATATCAAAGGATTCTCTTTTTTTCCTCTCAAAAGCACTGATTTCTTTTAAGAACATTTTTACGCAGTTTTGGTAACACTCAATACGTTTTAAAAGCAGATATATACCTTACCATATGTCTGATTTCTGAACATCCTTAATAAGTATAACATCAGAAAGTCTGTCTAAGAAACTGTTTATGTACATTGGAATTCTGTTGATGTTCTTTCACATCTCCGTGCACCAGAAAAGTTAAGCTTACAACACTGAAGTAATCTATTTCTTCCACAGCTGCAAATGTATGTTAGCATTTTACTGTTCATTTTACCATTGGAATGCATTTGGAGGAATGCTTTTGACTCATTAAAGCTTTTCAAACAGCCATCTTCCACCTAACCCTGAAAAAAGACATTTCAGTTCTGCAAAGAGCAGTACTTTAGAAAATCAGGCACACCAATTAATGAATGAATGCTAAGGTGTGTTTTTTTTTTTTATGTGCGAAGAGGCAGATAGTAAAATTTTAAAAAATAGTTTAGTTTGGTCACAATTTCACTGCAAAATGCATCATAGCAAGATTGTCTTAACTGGTCTGATAAAAACCACAATCTATTTCAACCACAGTCCACTTCAAAGTTGTTCAGAATATCGCTCTTAAATGAAATTGAATCACTCACATTGGTTTGATAATTGCGTTCAGAGTTAGGGTAATAAATTGCCAGTATACAGTTAGATGAACTCATCCATGTTATTTCTTAAACTATGGAGAGTGAACTGATATAAGTAGATCACATTTGGTTGATTTTCCCATCTTTTTGTAATCCACTGATTTATTGTGAAAGATGTTAATAAAGTTTACATATTCCAGATCCCTCTAAAATCTTTTTACAATAGTCAAAATTGAAAATCTAGCATAAAAATATAAATATGAGCATTAAAACTTTTTTAAACAGCAAAATTATTTCTTAAACATTAATGGGATGAACCACTTGTGAAGAAAATACGAGATTGATAGAGAACTAAAAATCACAGTGCCACTGCAGGATCATCTGCAGTTACATGAAGACTGAAAGAAAGACCTCCTTAGTAACTGATCTCATTAACCAATGTTATCTAATCTTGGCTATATGTTTCTATATAGTCTTGTCCATCCTCAGCTATTCACATTATTGATTTAAGTAGCTTAGTGCAGCCCCACTGAAGATACTTTAACAACTCAATGGTATTAACAAAATTCATGCTGTCTGAGACTTTTATTCTACGTCACTTTGGAAATTAAATCAGTGGCACAGTCATTTCTACTGGCAACATATAAACCCACACTGCATTTTCAATTTCCAAACCCATGTGTTCTATTATAATTTCAGTGTAATTTTCATTTTCACATCTAAAGATGCCGCTGTTAATTGCCTGGTGGCAACTGATACAATATCACTGCATTTGTAGCTTGCATAAAATATATGTAAAGTATATATATTGTTACTACAAAACTTATCTATAGGGAGTACATAACTGTATATATGTATTATTAAAATATAATTATCAATTCAAGTGGAGTTAATACTTATCTGCCAGTCTTCTATACACTAATATATTCCATTAATTGACTACCACTTCTCCAATTATAAATCTGAGGTTATGGTTTCCTTCGATAAATCCTATCTCATTCTTTGTAGCCTGATTCTGAAAAAAATACAATTTTGCTGTTAGCACAGACCAAGATGACACTACTCAGTTCTTTGTTTTCCTTGCTTAATAATTTTCATGTCCATTTAAGGAAATAAAGCAAGGAACAGGTGGTCAATTTTATGTCAAATTCTTCCCCTGAGGCCTTCCTTCACATGAGTGAACTTGCTAAATATTGTTGCTTTATAGGGTTATTCTTTTAGCCAATAGGCATAATATTATCTTGCCATGATCACCAGTAAAAACCAGCTTGTATGCTATAGTGATATTTAATCCAAATGGCCAAGCAGTATATTTAGAAAAGAAAAAATGACCATTTATCACGTTTTCTCCCTTTTTTCTCTCTATCTCTGTTGATGTTCCAGCTTCTCTACTTTTGGCTTTAAAAATATGTCTGAACATGAATTTTTCCAAGGATTAACTTCTAGTAGTTCCTTTTTCTGAGTCTTATTTTAAATACAATTTAAAAGCTCTTTTTTCCTCCCTGTTCTGCAGGCATAATTCATTGGTTGCTTTGCCTGAGCAAGCTCTTGGCTTTCACAGAGAGCTTTTGATTTGGTAAGTTTTATTTCCTGTGGGAAAGACCTTGTACCCAGCAAATTCACAGACAGAGGTTCCACACTTTTTATTAATGAGACTGAAACAATTAGTTAGGCAGGTCTAATCTACCCCAACATAATGTTCAGAGCTGGAAATACGACCATAAGGACACCTTCGTACTGTTTTCAGTGACCAACACACTGTAGGGTAAAAAAGCTCTTTATTTGGTTTCCATTAAAAAAACATATGCAGGAAGGAGGTTTTGCAAACTTCCTTATTTGTGTTCTGGTCATATGAAAGATGTTTTTCTTACTGGTGATAACCAATCAGGACACTCATTAAAGAGACACTTAGTGAATCATTTAATTTGAAACACTTTTTCCACTAGTGGGATGATTGATTTTCTGGAGCTTTTATAGACTTATTTAATTCATGAAGAATTTGATTGTTTTCATGTTTTGGGTGGGGTTTAATGGCTAGGAATGGATGAGTGTTGAAGCTCTCCTCCTCATTCTAGTACTCTCAAGATAAATTCAGATTTTTTTCAGCAATAAATGTTTAGTGTTTATTCATCCTTAACTTTTAACTTGTCCAAGTATATTTTTCTGAGCACAAAACATATACCTTGAAGCATCTCCTGTTCTGTTACAGCTCTGTGTTAGGACACCAAAATCACAACAAGACCAGAAATCTTCCAGAGAAATTGGTACTGTCCTAAACCCTTCAACACTTATTGGCTGCCCAAGACTACTTTTGAATCAGCAGGGCACTTTGTTGCTTTATAATGATCTTCAAGGATATCACTCAAAATACTTTGGTTATTATCCTTTCTCAAAAAGACAGATTTAATGCAAAGTATTCATATATGGTTAACATCACGATGGTTACTATATCTGAATCTCTCTTAGTTTTGGTGAAAAATAATTCTGTTTTCTTCCCACTCCTTGTGAAGATACCAACAGTATGGTTTAGTTAATTTCAGGGCTGAGGGAGGTGACAATTTATTCACACTAACAAATGTTATTAACTGAATTAGAGTCTCTCTCTAGCTATAGCCTTGCAGATTTTGAGGTGATTGGTTATCAGCTGAACAGAAGGTGTCTGTGATACACTCAGAGAAATGACCTAATGGTTCTTGGGGCAACAGTGTTTTCTGGTTTCTATCAAAAGAAACCATCCACCTAGTTAAATAGAAGCATACACTCAAGTAATCATTCCAAAACCTATGTATCCATCTGAGGAAAATATTGGGCTCTTGCTAGCACAGTACCTGAGCTCTTTATTGTCTTTAATCTATCTAGCACCACGACAGATCTGAGAGACCTGTTGGGAATAAGTCAAACAAAGAAAACAGTACTGGTTTGCTGGGCAAGTTATTCTGCAGAGCAATCGGGAGTTCTGCTTCCACCCTCACTGCTGTCCAAAGCAGTGTCTCGGTAGTGACAAGCATTGCTACGTAGACAGTCATCTTTCACTTCCAAAGTCCCACGTTCTGCAGTTTAGATAGAGCCAGACAGATTCTATCTTATATATAATGCCACACAGAAGAAATAAACACATAGGTGCTGGAAACACGTCCTCAACTTACTAGAGCAATGCCTTCGCATTAACATACTTTGATATCACTCCACAGCATTACATTATGATTGAACTACTTGATCAAGGAAATGTGTGGTAGAATAGAGATTTCCCAGTAACATGTTTTACACCACATCCAGCAGTGATCTCGGTCACCATAGGAGCAAATATAAGCAAGAGCTTTTCTGCATCCCAATCCCTGGCAGTAGCTGTAAACATCAGGCATTATCATTTCTAGTAGCAGATACTGCAAAATGTGATGCTACCTTCAGAAACTGCAGTCTCTTGGGAGACACTGAGCTGAAAAGTAAAAGCACTGAACAGAACTGGTTCTGTTTAGCTTACACTAGGACACTATCTTAGGCACTTACTGGGCCTCTTAAGTCATTGAAAAATTAACCAAAACCCTAACTGGTCTATCACAGAATCATAGTATAACAGAACGTGTTGGCTTGGAAGGTACAGTTAAAGGTTGTCTAGTCCAAACTGCCTGCAGTAAGCAGGGACAACTTCAGCTAGAGCATGTTGCTCAGAGTCCCATCAAGCCTGACTTTATCCTCTGATATATGTCTAGATGAATATTAAAACAAATTTGGTGTATTTCAGACTTGTCAGCCTTGTGGACAAGTCCACCATAGTTGAAACCATAGCTGAATTCTAGAGCTCCTCAGAAAAAGAGGGATGATTAGCCACTGGAAGAAAATCAAGACAGCAACACATTAACATGTTTGCAGTCTTTATAAAGCTCTCTTAAGCTGCACTCCAGTTTTAATTGTTAAATCTGCCCACCTATTCTTTGGCACATGATGTATAAAAACATAAGGAATGCTCTTACAAAAATACTTTAATATGCAGTTAAGAAAGAATGCTATTTATTCTTTGCAAATGCCTTTTTGAGGTAGTAGTACTATTATCTAAGAGTAATACGTGGTTACCATGGCTTTATTGGAGTGGCCTCCTCCTTGGAACTCAATGGTTCCAAAAGCATCCGTCGGGCTGAGCTGTGTGTGCTTGCTGATGGACCACTTCTCCGACGGGATGTCATTGCGAGTAAGCCTGCCTTCATTTTTCTCATTCTGAATAACAGAGATGCTTGGAGTCAGTCCAACATGTTGACCTATTAGACGTCCACAGCAACACCTATGACATTAAATAAACAGAAAACTTGGCTCACGTGCATGCATAAATGAACAGGGAAACAAATTATCTAAACCAGCCTAAAAATGTTCAGAAAAAGAAGACCCCTTTTCAACTCTGCTGATCACTTCCTTGCTCTCCGAAGTCTCTATTCGTGGAAGCAACATAGTACCTCTTTTCTTCTATGATCTTATTTACTTTGGCCTCTCACATATTTCAGTAACTCATACTTTGTTCTAAAGATGTACAAAGTTAAGGTAAAGAATGTTTTCTATTACCTGTAGATGACATTAAGCCAAATAATCAGCTTTTGCATGGACTAGAACACATTTTAAATTAGTAGTTCACTGCAATTGTTTTCCTTTGACAGTACTGTCTATCATGCGTTCAATATTCAAGGCACTGAATACCAAACTCAGAAGATTAGGAAATTAAACATAGACACTAATCCACCTATGATTTATCTTTTTTTTTTTTTGTAAAAAATAGTGAAGTAGGAATCCATCACTCCAGATGTAATTCAACCACCTTCTGATGAAATAAGTCTTACAAACTATTTATATCTATATACATACATCTGCACACATATGTACAGACATTTTCTTGTAATGAACTTTCATTTTTCATAGAAGTAGCATGCAATTACCTATGGGGGTCTTTGGTGCTGGGTATGATATGAACACATTCTCTCTTGTAAAATGCTCTTTCTATCCATGATTTTTGTGCCTAGAAAAGAGAAAGGAAGTACTGTTTGCTTATTAAACACAACTTACAGCACAACTGACGAGAAACTTCAAACATAAAGAAAACTTCGCTGACTATGCAGATGCATAGTGCATATTTTGCACAGACCAAACATTTTCTGTTAGAACTATGGTTCCTTTCTAAGGAACTAAGCTAAGCAGGCAACACAAGCTGTTAAGATTGTTTCCATATTCACTATACAGATTACTTTGATGCTGTCATCTTCTTATAGCAGGAATCACTGGAGAAGAATTAATTCAAACTGTAAAGCTCTCTGCATGGTAGAGACAAAATATATCCATTCATTAAAATACTTTAGAAAAATCTAATTTCTATTTTAGTGATGCAATTAGGACAGATTGAATAGAAATCTGAGAAATTAGAAAAAAAATCTTACAATTAAACTTACAATACTATGATTGTGATTCAAAGTTTTATACAAGTACTGAGAGGGGTTTTTAATCTGAAGCTGAAAAATAAAGTTTCATATGTGGACATCTTAATGAGACCCCTTACTTGAGCAAAAAAATAAAAGCAGAAAGATCTGTTTCTGAAATGAGACACAAAATTTTTTTGATATATTCAATCAGATAACCAGCTGATGTAACCTCTAAAACTGACAGAGTTCAATGTTTGTTCATAACACTCATCTTCTGCCACATATTCAAATGAGAGCAAATAATCTCCCTCAGCATAGTTTTAATTTTCAGATATACAAGAGATCTTTAGAAAAGGAAAGATAGATGGGTAGGAACAAAAAAATCCTCCAAGCAACAAACAAGAGACTTTCAGAGTTCTGAAATATTTTTGATTATTTAGAGAGTCCTTGTTCTATACAGTATGAATTCTGGCAAGCTCTGTAAAATATTCTCCCAGATAAATTCAATAATTTCATTTAATAAGGAGATAAGATGAAACTTTCCTTTAAAATTTCATTTTAAACATACAAATTTATAAAATATATTTTAAAAATAAAATTACCTATCTAATTATGGAGCATAAACAGAACTATAAACTATGAACTACAATAAAGTTATCTGAGAGTTAAGTAATCTGAAATGAATTTTGGATAATTTGAAGGAAATCTGAGCATCTTGTCTCTATAAAGAGAAAATACAAAATTGTCTTTATAACATTACCTAACTAATTAACTGATGTTATCTTTTACTATGTAAGGTTAGACAGTAACTTATATTACCTTCACTAACATTACCTTACTATCTACCTAATGTTACCTTTTTTCAACTCAATATGCACCCTGTTTTACTGTTTAAGCACAGACAGCTGTGTTTCTGGGACCTCTGAAAATGACTGTGAACTGTGGAAATTTCCTAGAGTCAATGAATGCCATTAGTATGAACTATAAAGTACCATAATAAGAATTTATAGCTATATCCATTACTTATTACTCTCTGTAAACAAAAAGTTATTCTTTTGTCTTTTTCACAGAAGATAATCACTTATTGGATCTAGTGGTAACAATATTTTATTTTTCCTCCACTTGTATTTTTATTTGATGAATCTGCTAGACTTCATATTTTGTAGGAATGGCAGACACTGTAACCTGATTTTTAGAGTAAGGAAAAAGCAAAATTATTACAAACATTAAATAGCAGTCTATTTGATTGTTTTTCCTTACTGTAGCAATCAGAAAGTTAATATATTATAGCATGTGTGGCAAAGTTTGTTTCATGTTTAAGCAAAGGACAATTAAATACAAATTCTGAAAATTTAAAAAAGTTTTACTTTACATAGAAGAGATTATCCTGAAGCTGAAGTATGTGGGAAAGTTAGGAGTTTTTTGTTTTGCTTGAGTCTTGTAGAGAAATAAAGGAAGTTAAAATTATTAGTCAGATATTGCAATTCTAACATTTGAAATTTACATACTTTACCATATGGACCACACATTCTTGAAATTTCTCCCCTTCAAGCTCCAAGAGCTGTCTATATAGCCTTAAGAAGTCTGATACGAAATGGTATATATAGTTGCTTTTTGACAAAAAAAGAATACTTATAGAATAATGCCAGTTTTATCTTCATACTTGTTTGCTTTAACACTATGCTTGCAATATCCTTTATCTTCTCTAGAAAGAATGAAAAGTTTTTATAAGCATCCAAAATCAGCTCCACCTGCAGAGCTTACATAGCACATATTATCATTCATGTTGCCAGCACTCCCTAGAAATATCCTTTATTTAACTTCATAAATTTTGCATATATTTCTGCAAACTATATGCCTTGGTGAATTTACTTACTCCATAGACCTAATGTATCCTTCATAAAGATGGCCACTAATTCAATTTCTCTAAGCCTCAAGATTCAGTACAAAAAGGTGCTTTAACAGGTACTTCACAGAAAACCTTCTCCTTTAGGTATACAAGCAAGCTTTCAAAAACCAAGAAACTGGCATTTAAAATCTGTTTTCCTAATCTTTTTCATACTGTCTTTGCAAGTAGGAAAGAAAACCAGCTATGCTAAATACAATAATAATTTGCATTTGAATTTTCATCATACTTCTTCAAATTTAATATTCCAAAAATGATTTTAAAAGTCCTTTATTCACATCAGGAAAAAAAGACTTCCCAGCTTTTACATCTCAAACAATACACTATGTTATCTGACAGAGTCATAACACCAAAATACATTATTTACTCATTTCATAATTACTTGTCCTTCCCTTGCAATGAAAGGTTCAGAGGTATAATAATGTTACTTGCCATAGAGTCTTCGTAGCAACTTTAGAATAACTACGGAAATCAACACATTAATAACAAAGCAGTCTGCATTAAACTAGTTTATAATGTGATTTAATAAAGTAGTAAAAAGCTTAGGAAAGTACAGCAAAGTATTTTCAAGAATAATAGAGCAAGAATCTTCTCTTCTCTTGCTTTGTAACAACTCTTCAGTATTAGTTCATAAAACTATTTCAAGTCCACAGTGAATTCCTGAAGTCCCTGCCATATTTGGATTTAATTTTCTCATACGTTACATCTCTAGGTTAAGTCTCTCTCTTTATTAACCCAGCTGCAAAATCCCACCAAGAACATCCCACCAAGAACATATTTTTTCTCCCTCTTCTTTACCTGAGCATCAAACTCGGCATTTAAGTCTGTCCCAGAGTAAACTCTGCTGTCCACGCTCCCCTGCCGCTGGTCATCACTGATAACACATTTGTGACTGCCCTCAAACAAAGTGCAGGGACATGAGAGCAGGCGAAGGCCATGTACCCATTAGCTGCTTGGAATGTGATGCTGTGGGATTAGCCTCGTTAAGGGTTCGGTGGACACTCACCCACAGCCCCACAACACCACTCAGTTGGAATATCTAATCTGACACTGAAACAAAAACAAATCGCCTGAGAGCCTGGTTTTAACTGGCATAAGACTTGACGGGCTTTTTTTCTCCCACTTCTTTCCCCCTTAGACATCTGAGCTAGTGAAAGTGCAATAAGGTGCTCTGGGTTCTCAAGTTCTACCCAGGAAAACAAATCCTTCAAAAGAAACAGTGTACTGAGCTGGAAAGGATGTGAGCACACAAGAGAGATTGTTAATCTCTGAAGAATGAAACCACTGTCTCTATTGGGTAACTGTGGGAAATCTATACACAGTTGAAATATCTCACAATTAATCAACAATGGCGTTTTCCCAAAGCAGTCAGGATTTGTCACCGTTTCTCACCACAGTTGCTGTATTGAAGTGAATGTAATTTTTCAGAAAGTCATAAACATGAATCTTTGTCTTTCAGAGACAAGCAACTGCATTGTTTTCAGCTTAATTAAAAGTTAGGAACTTAAAACACAACTTGAATGTTTACAAATTTGGGAACTACTTCCTTACTGTACCCTCTTGATAGCAACACTGAATAATCTTTTCATATGAATATTTACACTTTTTAGCAATTATATTTGTTGAATTGCTTATTTCAACAGTGTTCCAGATATAAAATATTTTTATTCCCTTCCCCCTCCCTCCCAAGTTTGGATTAATTCCTCTCTACTCCTACATATGCATACACACTCTCCTTTCCTTTTTAATAAGGCTGTATCTAATGTATGGAAAACATTCTGTCTGCCCTTGGTGCCAATGAATAGACAAGCAGTAAATTATTCTGTATGTTGTTTAGCCTGGAGAAAAGGAGGCTGAGGGGATACCATCTAACCCTCTACAGTGACACGAAGCGAGGCTGTAGGAAGGTGGGAGTTGGTCTCTTCTTCCAAGTAACAAGCAACAGGACAAGAGGAAACGGCTTAAGTTGCACCAGGGGAAGTTTTAGATTGCACATTAGGAAAAATTTCTTCACTAAAAAGGTTGTCAAGCATTAGAACTGGCTGCCCAGGAATGTGTTGGAATTACCATTCCTGGAGGTATTAAAAGATGGGTAGATGTGGTGCATATGGACATGGCTTAGTGGTGGACCTAGCATTGACAGATTAATGGTTGGACTTGATGATCTTATAGATTTCCCACCTAAAAAATCATACAATCCAATGGGTCCAGAATGGGCAGAGCCGAGCATATGCACCAACTTCTAATCTTCTTATACCATCCCAAATGTTGAGAAGATTCTGCTAGGCTGGCTAATCCATGAGACTTTCTTCTCTCTTTCCTAAATTTTCTGTGTAAAATACACACATTTATCTTGTAGGCAATGTATAAATGAAGTAAGTACATATACACACTCTGTATGCATATATATAGACACGCTGTTTTAGCAGTGTGCCCAGGTGGCCAAGAAGGCCAACGGCATCCCAGTCTGTATCAGGAAGAGTGTGGTCAGCAGGACTATGGAAGTGATTTGATTGAGAGGGTGGAGAAAGAGAGAGAAGAGGAAAGGAAAAGAGTTCACACGATTAAGATAAATGAGTAAAAATTCAGATCAAACTTTGAAGTGAAACTTTAGTGCTCGGACTTGACAAGATTCTGGAGATTGTTACCCAATTAGCTTGAAAAGTAACCTGTGACAGAAGCAACATCTTTCATCTTAAGAAATCAACACAAGCAACAACAGATGCACGCATATACCTATGTTACCCAGTAGCACTGTGAAGAACATTTTCTAGATAAGGACATAAGTAGAGTTGGTCTATGCCACACATGCTACAGGAAATTAAAACTGTCTTTGCCATAGTTTGTTTAAAGATGCATTAATGTTATGACCCTCTGCCAATGAAACTACCAGTGCCATAGATATTCATATCTTTTGAGAAGTAATAAAGAAAGCTAGGTTTTTTTTTTCACTATGGTGCAACTGCAAAAAAAGTGCTTTCAGAGAGGTGGATGCTGCACATTTAATGCTCCTGACACAGACATTATCTAAAATTTCAACCCACCTCACTGTTAATGAAACGAATTCTCAAATAGCAGTTAGCAATAAGCTCAGTAGTAGTGACTCCTTATAAAAGAGGAGACCAAATATTAAAATTAATTAAGAAGAGAAATTTTTCAATAAAATAAATCCTGGCAGATTTTAACATGTTATGATGACCTCTGAATTAACCTTATTTTAAAAAGAGCACCAAGAGTTACAATTTTAGAAACCTGTGATTTCAGTGGCAGAGCAGAACTGGAGGCTGTTCTAACCCTCTTTTTCCTAACTTTGTTTATCTTCAACAAGTAACCAGGTTATAAGACAGGTCTCACTGGGGCAACAGAGGTGTTGTTAAAAGCCTTTCCTTACCTTGCAGCAGTGCACAGAAGCTGGACAGGCAATGGATTCCTACTGAAGCAAATTACAGATAGGATTTGCAGAAACATCTGGTGACTGAACTGCATCAATGTTATTGTAAGCTGATGAGATTAGTGTTCCTTCATCAAATGGGCACTTTTTCAAATCCCACTGTTTCTTAGTAAAGACTCTATATCTGTAAACTTGGCAATGCTTCAATATAAACTTACTGCTAGGTGTGCACAAGACCCCCTTTCAGCATTGTCAAATTATAAGCATTATAAACACTTCTTTATCTTGCTTAAAGCATTAGGAATTGACCTTCCTGGACATTAAGACAGAGATAATTAGAGTGTCTCTAAATGTTTAATTTTCTAACAGATGTTAATTACTAGTAGCATCTTAGAGGCTGGACATCAGACCTTTACCCAATAGAGCTGTACTTCTGTAGTAGGTTTTGCTCTTCTGACTTCCTAAATACTTTACCATCAGAGTTTTTCTAAGAACAATGTTAAATTGTCTTCAAAATCAAGTTGTATTCAGTATAGAGTATGAGGACATAGAATGCAGTCATATATTACTGCAGTATGTTAAGAGAATTTATCTAGCACTTTTTGTCAGATGTAATTTTTATACTGTATTTAAAAGACAGAGTAATTTAAAAAAATTGAGTACTTTTCACTCAATAGTTTATCATCTTAAGCATTGTATCTCACATTTTTACTACTGCAAGGTAACAAAAATGAAATTTTCTGTTAATGCTGCTATGCAAGTTTAATCTTCATACATTTTGAAATCATTATATAGACAAAGTATATGTGATCAGATGTTATTATCCATGCAACTGATAACTAGAAAAATTAACAGATATTTCAAAAAGAACCATGGAGAATGATTAGAATGATTAGATCCAAGAACTGATGTAGACATCCAAGCTCCTACAGTCCTCCTCAAGATCAGTAGAAGTGCAAGGAGAAAATTTTAAAGAGAAGCTTATTAAAATGAAGGATATACTGTAAAGAACACTTTCAAAAATTTCCCCTACTTTCTTCTTATGGGTTCTGGCATATGAGGGGAGGAATTAAGCCTACTCACTTCACGTTTTTTTATAAAATTATTTATGATTTCACCAAATCTGCTATGAGCTTAAAGTTGTTTAAATAAGTAAATAAACCTTTTCTAGGAAGAAAGCCCTACTTGGTCATATGATGCGCTTATCTAGGCCACTATCCTGTCTCTGTGAGTGTCATAAATAGGTGACAGAGGAAAGGTAAAACATGGCGAATGTATACAATGCTTTTTCTTAATACTTTCTCAGGTAGTAATTATTTTCTGTTCATGGACTTCTGTGTTGTGATTTCTACATGTTCCTTAACCCTCCACGGGCTTTCCTCCACAAACTTGTCTGCTGACTTCAGGCCAACTTTCAGCATCATTAATGTCTTTCTCACTGCTGCAGGGAGAATTGGTTCCTTCTGTTTGTTTTGAATATGACTCCTCACACTTTCCCATGATGTTTATTACTGAGAGAGGCAGTGAACAGTCAGTTCCCACCCATTCTCTTCACACCAATCATGGTTTTCAAGATAGGTTCTTAATTATTTTTCTTTTCCCCAGATTAACCATTTATCAAACATTTCCTCAGATAAAAACCATTTGTTACCTTTTATCTTCTTTTCTGCCCTTCTCCAAACCTTTTCCAGTTAACTTCATCCTTCCTTCTGGGAGAATCAGAATGTGCCCCAAGGGTGAACTACAGATTGGTATTGTGGCAAGTGGACATTCACTGTTTTTGTACCTATTATGTTCCTTTCCTATTTATTCAAAATTAATTTGGTTTTCTCAACCACCACTGCTCAGCACTGTGGTAACACTTTCACAGAATTATCTAGCACAGCCCCAATATTTTGCACCACTGCAGTAAAGAATTTATAATAAAAATTGTAAGGAACAGATATAAAAATCAAGTTGTTTTTATCAAATTCAATGGAACAGAAACACACTTACACAAAGTTCTAATTTATATTAAATGCAGTTTAACAAATCATAATGAAATATAATACCTCAGAAGTAAATAGGTGCACATGTATAACTGGAAATCAGAATATAAAGGAAATATTTTTCTGTCATTCAGCACTGGTAGATTACCTAACTTTAAAGTGATTAACTTGCTTTTGGCTTCTAAAAAAGTGCAACATTACTCCTATTTTCTCAAAGTAAGGAAAGAAAACTTTCACATTAAATCAGATCATTTTAAATAAAAAATCAAGAGGTTAAAATGCATACGTAGGAGTTTTTCACTGAATCTAATTTTGGTTTGAACTACTTGATTTCCAAATTGCTCATTTTACCCCACACATGTATGACAGCTGTAACATTGTCTGCTCTTTCATTAGAGTGAGGTGATTTTGCTAGTCACTGTGTGGGTGCTGAGTTGACAAAGGAATTAAAATTAAATTGTACGTAACTGCACAAAAGAGTCTCAAGGAATTTGGATTCTAGATGCTACCCAAGCATAAACATTCAAATGGAGCAGTTATACACCCCTGTTCACATTTCATCTCATCTTCCAGCCCTGCAGTTACTCACAAGTCCTTCTTGAACCTGCTGCATAATGCAATCCCACAGGCATCCTTTGCTAAAATGCCCTGGTTGAAGTCTACCCTCTCATCTTCCTCCAGACACCATTCTGGAAAAATGGAACAAAACAAGGGCCAGTTAGATGAGACAACACTGCTGATCAGTTCTTTTGTATCTCTCCTCTTCCACTGGGCCAAACTCAGCATCTTCTTCAAGCAAAACACTGGAGGATCTTTCTTTTGGGCAGAGCAACATCCTCTTCTCTCTCTACACTCCTCTGTGCTTCTTCATCATCTCCCCTCTCCTCTTCTCCTGAAGACACCTTGCATTCAGGTATCAGTTTTGGGTCATCCCACTTGAAAACACCTTCCATTACCAAACCAAGGGCAAGCATGATTCACTGTCCTGTTGATCACTCCCCTCTTCCATTTAGTTTGGCACAGCATGAGGGAGTAACAGTCAGGCTCCGGGCAGGAGGAACAGCCACAGCAGCTCCCTATAGGAACACTTGTCACCAGATAGACACAGGACAAAAAAGTCCAAGGAGAAATATCTCTCACCCTAGTAGAGTAGTCCAGTGTAGCTGTGATGCTTCTTAGGTTTTCTGTGTCATAAGGGCAAATTCAGGGGAGGTTTTTTTTGGCATTTTGGAACTGTGTGATTTTGAATTGCATGAGCCCTTATTATTCAGACCTGGTAATGTCAGTTGTCTGATAAACTAACAGCATGTGCTTTCTTCTGCTGATAATGATACTGCCCAAGTTGCACAAATCAGAATGAAACATGTTATGATTTCTGATTACATCACATCATTAAGCAGACAGGGTCAGTGGAATTTGCATTACTAACTTAGAAAAAATGGAACCACTTTCTATGTCCTATTATTTTTCTGGACTAATAATTTTAGAGTGGACTTTAGCTGCAACCAAGAGAGATCTGGAAGTAGATACTCCTGTCAAGTTTTCACAGCTGTAGTTTTTTACAGGCATAAAGAAAATTGTAAATGTACCTATTTTTTGTATATAGTGCAATCTGATATACCAGCATCTCTTATGAAGCAGGGATAAAATCTTATGGAAATATTCCAGTTTGATACTCGAGGCTTCAGGTACCAGAACCGGGCATGGGAAAGAGACTGAAAACACTGCTCGAATCACATTAAGACTCCAGAGCTCTAGTGCACAGCAGACATGTCCAGAGGGCTGAAATGACTACAGCACTGAGCACAGACTTAATGAGAAACCATTATCACAGGACAGCAATTGCCAACAAACCATAGTTTAATTCACTGAACTCTGGCACTAACCTAATCCTGCTCTAGTCTGGAGAACAATATGGCAGAACCTATGGAATTTATCTTTACAGCACAACTGCAACGCATGTACTCCTCCATGATCAGGTATTACCAACAGATGTAACTCGCTTTTAAAAAGGTCTTCCTGCATATCATACAAAATCCTGTGTGACGGTATGACCACTGCACTCTCCACGCATGGTAATCCACAATCAGCATTAGAACTGGAAACCACCTAGAACACTAACCCCACCAAAACATGGGAGTAAAATGTGGGTTCCAGTCTGTAAACACACCCTGCCAGTGGAGAACTTGGTCCTCAGATTTTGGTAAATTTCAGCCAGGATCTCTGTGCTATTTTTGTTACTATCTTAATGTCAGATTCATCAGTGCATGCAGACAGTGCTAGCCTCCTGGATCACTCTTGCCAACTTTGGTATACAAAACTTGGGTACTGAAGTTCACAGATCCTGTATGTATGCAGCTATTTCATTTTCTGTCCCATACCCTTTCTTACTTTTCTTTTCCCAGTACTTTACACACCAGACTTTACTGAGTTCTGTCCTAAGAAACATAAATAACGGAGAGATATTTTAGGCATGTGTCAAGCTCCCTGTATCATTCAGTGTCTTACTGTGACACTGACAACAGTGCTTTCAACATTAGCTTTTTTATATATGTTCTGTGAAGAGATGGTGGACATATCCCAAATGAAGTTACAATATTGCTCTCTCCATTTTGCTATTCAAATAGCATTATAAAGAACAGTTCCATTATTTTTTCCAGATGTCATTTATTTTAGTGATATGTTTAACTGAAACAAAATCTAGTACTTTAGCTAACTCTTAAATAAAAGGAAGAGTGTAATAAATGAGACCAGTGACATAAAACTTGAAATTAAATAGAGTAAAATGCATGCAAGCCTTACAAGAGTATCCTCTTGTCAACCAGAGCTAAAGAAAACATTTCTCAGTAGCAGATCAAAACAGGTATTTTGACTCACAGTTGCCTTTCACCAAACATGAAAGTGGATAGAGGAAATAAAAGCAAGTTTTTAGGCATCCAAGTCTCAGCTATTACTCTGAAAGTGCAGACCTTTCTTCTCTGCTTTGTCTGACACAGCTCAATGGAAAATATCAGAGAAAGTCCTTTGCTGCCTGAAAGATTTTCTCTCATGCAACCATTAGTGGCTTTTATTGTTGGGGTGGGGAAGAGCAGAAGAAAGGAAAATCTTTTATTCATTAAAAACATCTTGTGGCCAGTTGCTTTAGCAAACACATATCAAATCCAAAGTGTGGCTCTTATAAACTTGTTTCTGAGAAAGGAAACTTGATCACTGCAGTAACATTTCTTTTAGAAACACTGCTACAAAGTTTGGCATTATAGTATTTTATTTCACAACAATTTTGACATTATAATATTTTGCATTATACCTAGACTTAGCTGTATAGTTAGCATATTTTTTTTTCTGTACACTGTCCAGAGACTGCTGACATCTGATTTTCCTGAAAAATTATATCCAAGTTTCAATTGTCCACCTAATGTAGTGTTTCAGTCTAGGAATAAACAAATAAGAAAACACAACTAGAGTATACTTGATAGTTATTTTATCCTTACAAAAATATGGGTTTATTGTGATACCTACAGCATGTTTGTATAACTGTAAGGGGAGAAGTTGAAAATATCTAAGGAATATGAGCATTTGTGAAGTCATTGAAGTGAATGATCAATTTGAAACACTGTTAGATGAACCCTGATTCAGGTACTCTGAACAGAACAAGAAATTGATTTTTATGCACTTTGCTTATGCTTTGGACAAACAATGTTGTCATGGGGTGACCGTGTGTAACTACGTAATGATGCAAGAAGCATATTTAAAATGTCATAGTTCAGCAAACATGAAACAGGTAGACAGTCACCCGTAAAACCACGAATATTTCATACCTCTGATTTTAGGTATACTTTTCACTCTTCAGGACCCTCCTTGGTAACATATCATGGGACAGAGCCCTGGAGGGATTGGGAGCTCAGGAAAGCTGTTTGACTTTCAAGGATCATCTCCTCCAAGCTCAAAGGCACTGCATCCCCAAAAGGAGGAAATCTAGCAAAAACACCAGAGGACCTATATGGATGAACAAGGAACTCCTGGCCAAAATCAAACACAGAAGGGGAATACACAAAGGGTGGAAGCAAGGACTGGTAACCTGGAATGATTAAAAGGAGATTGCTTGTGAAATCAGAAACCACGTTAGAAAAGCTAAAGCCCCAATGGAATGAAATCTGGCCAGGACATTAAAGTAACAGAAAAGTATTCTACAGGTATGTGAAAAAAAAAGATAAACAAGAAAGAATGTGGGGCCTCTCCACAGTGATACAGGTGGTGACCTGGTTACCGAGGATACGGAGGAGGCTGAAGTGCTCAATGAATTTTTGCTTCAGTCTTCACTGGTAACCACTTGAGCCACACCACTCCAGTCACAGAGGGCATTGGTTGGGTCTGGAAGAGTGAAGAACCAGCCAGCGTAGGAGCAGATTAGATCTGGGAAAACCTAGAGAACCTGAAGGTTCACAAGTCCATGGGACCTGATGAGATACACCCATGGGTCCTGAAGGAACTGGTGGCTGAAATTGCTAGGCAACTAGCCATCATATTTAAGAATTTTGAGCAGACTAGTGAAGTTCCCATAGATTGGAAAAAGGGAAATATAACCCTCATTTTTTAAAAACGAAGCAAAGAAAACTCAGGGAACTACAGATGACTCAGCCTCACCTCTGTGCCAGGTAAAATCATGGAACAGATTCTCCTGGTATCTGTACTAAGGAATGTGAAAAATAATAAGGTGATTAGTGACAGCCAACACGGTTTCATTAAGGGCAAATCCTGCCTGACTAATTTAGTGGCCTTCTATGACAAAGTTACAGCTCTGGTTGATATGGGAAGAGCAACTGACATCATCTCCCTGGACTTGTGCAAGGCATTTGACACTGTCCCACATGGCACCCTTGTCTCTAACATGGAGAGACGTGGACTTGATGGATGGACCACTTGGTGGACAAGGAACTGGCCAGAGGGTTGCACTCAAAGTTGTGGTCAACGGCTTAATGTCCGCACGGAGATCAGTGACAAATGGAGCTTCTCAGGAGTCTGTTCTGGGTCCAGTGCTGTTCAGCATCTTTGTCATTGACATGGAGAGTGGCATCAAGTGCCCCCTCAGCAAGTTTGCCGACAACACACAGTTGTGTGGTGCGGTCGACACACTGGAGGGAAGGGATGCCATCCAGAGGGACCTTGACAGGATGGAGAGGTGGGCCCAGGCCAAACTCATGAAGTTCAACAAGGGCAAGTGTAAGGTCCTGCACCTGAGTTGAGCCAATCCCATGCACAGATACAGACTGGGCAATGAGTGGATTGAGAGTACTCCTGGGAAGAAGGGTTTGGGTGTTTTGGTGGATGATAAGATCAACACGTGACAACAGTGTGTGCTTACAGCCCAGAAAGCCAACCGTATCCTGGGATGTATCAAGAGATGTGTGACCAGGAGGTCGAAGCAGGTGATTCTGCCTCTCTACTCTGCCCTTGTAAGGCCCCACCTGGAATACTGTATCCCGCTCTGGAGCCCCCAACACAAGAGAGATATGGAGCTTGTTGGAGAGAGTCCAGAGGAGGGCTACCAAAGTGGTCAGAGGGATGGAACACCTCTCCCATGTGAACAGGCTGAGAGAGTTAGGCTTGTTAAGCCTGGAAAAGAGAAGGCTCTGGGGAGACCTTTTAGCCACCTTCCAGGACCTGAAGGGGGCCTACAAGAAGGCTGGGAGGTGCTTTTTACAAGGGCCTGTAGTGATAGGACACGGGGTGTAAGCTGGAAGAGGGTAGGTTTAGACTACATACAAGGCAGAACTTTTTTACCCTGAGGGTGCTGAGGCACTGGAACACGTTGCTCAGGGAAGTAGTGGATGCTTCATCCCTGCAAGTGTTCAAGGCCAGGCTGGATGGAGCCTTGAGCAACCTGATCTAGTGGAAGATGTCCCTGCCATGGCAGGGGCTTGGAACCAGATGATTTTGGAGGTCCCTTCCAACCAAAATAATTCTATGATTTTAT